TACATGAAAAGCCGATTTCCCCCCCACCACATATCCCACACCCCCCCCCGTCAACGACTCGTCTATCCCGTAGAACCACACCCGACGGTAAAATGCCGTGCAGAAAACGATACATTACACCCCGAACACGGGGTTGCAACCTCATCCTACTCAACCTATTCCATATACTTCCCATGCATACATGGGGAAAATTCCCTCAACAGGCGCTACAACCCTCCCGGCTAACAATCTACACAACCTACCTATTTTAACCTTTGCTGGCTCTCGATCCCACGCCAGAGCCCTCAACACAGTTTCACACTCATGCAACTCAACTCCTGTATACATCCGTTGCAATCTGTTAGGATCCTGGCCAACCCCCCCCCACCCACACTTTCCCTCATCACCTCCCTTTTAATGAAGACACATTTGACCCTCCGTTTTAAGTCCAGCAATCCCAGCCCCCCCTTACTTACAGGTAACATTACCACATCTCTTTTAAAATCCAATCACAGCTCGAACCCCACAAAAATTTAAAAACCTTCCTAAGTATGTTTCGTTATAGCTGGCCCAGTTAATGGGAACACGGCTGCCACGTGCCATACTTTGCTATACGTAAGATATTAACAACAATGGCACGCTGCACAAGGGTCAAATGATAAGGTCGCAATGCACCCAAGCGTCCCTGAATCCTTTCTACCATCCTAAGCGAGTTTTCCATGCGTGCCACGGGTAGTCGTCTGCATAAATAAGACCACAGATTTTTAACGAATTCACCTGCTTCCTCACAACGCACTACCCCAATCAACCCTACCCGCCCAAGCTCCTAACCCCATGACCATGGATTTATCTGAATTTACCCTCATCCCCAGTTGCCCCTGCGAACATTTGTACTACCCCGTCTAATGTGCCCATTGACATCCCCTCCCTGATCAGAACAGTTGTATCATCCACATACCCAATTATCACTGGCCAAAACCCCTTTCGCAACCTCACACCTGGTCCCTCTACGTGACACATCGCTGCTCCATCAATCTATAAAAGGGGTCCTGTACGCATGCAAACAATAATTGGGGACATAGGACACCCCTGCCTAAGTCCCCTACCCATTCAATTTTCCCACCCAACCCGACCATTAATCTTTACCCTCGCCATTGAAACCTCCATACAACGCCTCACCCGCCACTATTTCTTCCCCCAAACCCCAAACCCCTGGGATGGCTTTCAATGCTTTCCCGACCCCACTCATCATATGCCCCTGCAATCGAGCGCACCAAACCTCCCTCCCACCCCCCCCTTTTTGGGCTCCACGAAATCCCTAAGTAACCCATGCCCTCCACCAAGACCTCCCTGGCAAACCAAACTGAGTTTTGATACTACCCGCCTACCACAAAACTGACCCGATTTCCCAAAACTTCGCAAAAAAATTTATAATCTGCGCATAACAACGAGATCGCCGGTAATCCCGAAGCGTATGCTGCCCCTTACCCTTCGGTACCAATAAAACGACAGCCGTTCCCCTGCTTCTCACCCAGCTCACCTCTCTCCTTCATGCAATTTAATAACCTAACCAAAAATGCCTCAATAGTTCCCAATGCTGCTGATAAAACTCTACCGGGAGTCCATCAATTCCCGGTGCTTTGCCCTTTTCGCTTTTCCACTTAAAGCCCTCCATATTTTCCACCTCAGTTATTTCGCCACCAGTGCTTCCCTATCACTGTTACGCAAACTGACATACCACACTCCCACACACCTGTTCTAAAACCCCATCCTCTACCCTTCTCGTTCCCAGTACTTCTCATCCACTTGTCAGCAAACGCCCCTTTCCTTCCGTAGCTTGTATGACCTGCCCCTCCCTGTACCCTCCTATCAAATTCAGGGAACCTCCAACCATGGAATAGCCCATTGCCTGCTGTCTTTTGTTTCTGCCTACGCAATACGCACGATGAAGGCCCATCGCCCCATAACACCTTTTCCCACCCCCGCCTGTACCCGCACCGCTTGGAACCTCTCATCCTGTACCTCACGCAGCCCCCTTTAATTGCCATAATTTCATCCTTTGGAAATAATGGCCCGCCACCGCCCCCCTCGCATAACAACCCCGTAATCTATCCTCCAAATAGTTAGCAAGCCCATATTTTAAAAAAATTTGATACGTTTCCCTTCCTTTACGTAATATTGCTTAATCCGTTCTTTAGCCACCACCCCCACCACATCACCACATCCTCTACCCCTTTTATCTCTGCACGTAACCCCTCCCACAGCGTTGCAAATCCCTCTATCCCCTCCTCATCACCTAACACACTTGTATTTAATTTCCAATATCCCCCAGATATACCTGCTAGTGACTCCCACGCCACCTCTGCTACAACCGCCCGATGATCCGAAATAAGCTACTTCTATTGTACGGAAAATGTCAACCCAACCCCTTGAGATATATACAGCCTATCCAACCTAGCAGCGTAACCCCGTCTTACAAAAGTGTGGCTCTACCTCCCACGCCCCTCCTCCAACCGCATCCCGCAACTGAATATCCCTCAAAAGATCTCGCAAGGGCCCGCCGACACGTGCCCCCCCCTTTTGGTTCCACGTCAGCCCTCCTAATAACGCAGTTCCAGTCGCCACCAACGATGGCCACTGCAGGAAAACCACGTAAGAAGAAAACTAGTTTCTTCACATACAAAATCCCTTTTTACCCTCACATCATTTTCCGCTGGTGCATACACACATACAAAAGATACCCGCTGTCCCATCCACCACCCATCCACGCGCAATACCCCTTCCCCCTCCCCCCTCACTTCTTAGTAACACAAATGGGCTTGCCTCCCTGATCAATATACCCACACCACCTTTCAGACGTGCAGATGGCAGAGTCATGACTGAAACCCCTCCACCTCGAGCACTCTTCCCTCCTTGAAATTGTTTTTCTTGCAGGAACACTACATCCCACCCCTAATTTATACAGAAACATTCGAAACCATTCCTTCTTCACACTATTACACAGTCCATTTACGTTCACAGTCATAAAACTAAGGCCTCTTTATAGTTCCAACCCTTCCTCCTCTCTTCATTCATCCCAGGGCCTCCTGCCCCAGAGCCAGCACAAGGCTTCACAAAACCCTCAACCCCTCCCCCTTTTTTGCGATGCCTCTTATCGTGAACTGCTTCGACATTGCTCTTTTTCCTTCCTCCCAGACCTCTGCGCCGGCGTCAGGACCCTCATCTGAGTCTGACGCCGCTGCTCTCTTCCTCGTGATGCCCCCCTACATCCATGTTATCTTCTGAGGTTCCCTCACATGAACCTCAACCCACCACGCCCCGTTCCACAGCACACGCGACAACTCTCTCTTATTAGTTGGCCGTCAACCCCGCTATGTTTTTATCCTTACATTCCTCTACAGGCACCGCCGTGTCTCTCACCACTCAGGGAAAAACATCCTCTGCAGGCGGTGTCAATGTCCTTAACACCTCCTGAAGCTCTTCCCCTAGAGCCTGCACCTCCTCCTGCACTTGCACTTCTGCACTTGTCCTTTGTGTAGTAAAAATCCTTTACATCACAGCTTACCTCACACATGCCATTCTCCCCTTTTGGGAAACCTCCACCTCTTCACTCCACAAGCGCCCAAAGGGCCCTTGCTTGCGCACTGGGCCCCTCACAGCTATCACGCTGGTAACTGGTGCTTCACCAGTTTGCGCTGGCGCCCTCCTCAGCTTCACGCACTCTGCCGCCCTATGGGCGTATGCCCCACATATTCTGCACGTACGTCTCTGTTTCCCGGCATACGATACCATAACTTGCGTCCTGAAGTCCTCCAACACGACGTAAGACGGTATGGGATGTCTCAGAGTCATCTTCCCGGGAAAAGGTACCCTCCGGACGTCCCATGTAAGCACCTTTCCGTCCACTTGCCCTTTTGTGCCAGGATGTACGGTTCCATATGTCTCAAAAAACACTCCTTACGTCAGCCTCATCTGCCTCAAATGGGACATTACGTATCTTAACCCACGTAAAGTGGCGAGATACGTCGATCAAACGCACCTTCACAGCTGGAGTAGCGTCAAGACTCACGTCTTGGAACCTCGTCACCAAAGACTCTACACGGACGTGGAATTCAGTTTGACGAAGATTCTATAAGCCCCATTCAGGGCTACACCATACACCTCATCGTCCTGGATGCCATAGGTCTCCCTAATGATTGTCGGGAGTAAGACTTGCACTGAAGAGGGTGAAATCGCCCCACGAAGCAGCTCAATACCAATGGTATTTACGCGCCTCCTCACACTCAGCGCCATGTTGATACAAGGTAGCTCGCCTGAACAGCAGAGGGGTGCAGCGCACAACCTCACTCGACCGTGGTCAGGCAGCGAATGACAAGTAAGGATCAGTCAGTTCCTGAATCTGATGTGACCTCATGATGAGTTGAATCCCTCACCGGAAATCAAGGACACCAATGGAAATAAGTCACTTTGATTTTTTTTTGGATTATCCTAGGTAATTTATACTATGTATGATAAATGTACTTATGTGTACCTGTGTCTCAATAAACTTATTTATTATTTACGGTGCCCCGTGGCCTGGTGGCAAAAGTCCTCGCTTTGCACGGTGAGGGTCCGGGGTCGATTCCCGGCGAAGGGGTGGAAACATCGGACGTGTTTCCTTACACCGGTTGTCTATGTTCACACATCAGTAAAATGGGTACCTGGGTGTTAGTCGACTGGTGTGGGTCGCATCCTGGGACAAAACTGACCTAATTTGCCCGAAATGCTCAGCATAACAAGGGGCTTTCTATATAGTAGTATGTCACTGATGTCAGTTAGGCTTGTATACCTTGTACATGTACTTGTAGTAAATAAAGATATTATTATTATTATTATTAACCAATCACCAGACTGCCGTGACGTCATAGTGTGCTCCCCCCCAATGAACAGCTCGACCAATCACCAGACTGCCGTGACGTCATCTAGAGCTGGCAGCTCTTGGCGCATGTTCTAGCAAATTCAGTAAAAAAGAGCACACATATATAGGTGTAAGAGGCAGCCAGAAGCAGTCAGGAGGAGTGAGGTGCAGGATACTCATTACTGCAGTACACCACTGAATACCGAAAGTAAGTGCACTATACACTAATTAAGCGAATTTGTTTGCTAGAAGCAAGTAACTCGCTAAATAACCACTCAGGGGTTCAGTTCTTCGTGAAATACAATACAGAACTTAATATCAGAATGTTTAGTGTATTACAAGTTACCAGTCGGTCATGTTATTAATTTTAAGGGTTCTACTGAAATAAGCCAGGAAATCAAAATAATAAATTTTTTTTATCACCTCATCGAGATATGTGGTTATATACATCGAGACAGTATATATCTCATATATACCCCAAAAGGGGTATAACTCTCACTGTATATACATACGAGTGGTGTAAAGAATGCATATATACTACGTGTTTAATCTGTTTTAGGATTAATGATTCTCGACCCGGGGGTGAACAGGTATTAAAGGTCCCTCGTGTATTAATAATAATAATAATATCAGGTCACTTTTTATTGTCTCTGGTAAACTGATTATTAGAGAGTCATTAAGTTCCTTGGTAATGGGAGGCAATCACGTTTGATCCGAGGACAGTTGAGGGTAACTCCAATTCCTTGGATCAATTTAGAGATTATTTGAGCAGAGACTCTGTGTGATCTCTTGTGTCGCGTCAAACGTTCTTTCTCTTTAGGGAGAGAGGGAATGCCCTAATGTTGAAGGGTTCTTGATTTTTAGGAACTGGAGCTTCCGTTCCTCTCCTCGGATCAAATCGGAATACCTCCCAGTCCCTAGGTGCCCACATAATAACCATGGTGGGGTTACCTGCTATCAGTTGTTAATAAATAGTAATCAAAGGGTACTTGTGCGCACTGGAGCGCAGGCGAGAGGGGATGTATCATAATTTACACCTGGAAGATCCTGGAGGCACTGGCCCTAATCGCACACAGAAACACTCCCTACGAAAGCAAAAGACTTGGCAGGCGATGTAACATACCCCCAGTGAAAAGTAGGAGCGCCATTAGAGAAAACACAACAAGTGTCCGGGGCCCAAGACTGCTCAACAGCCCCCCACCAGCCATAAGGGGAATTACTAATAGACACCTGGTTGTCTTCAAGAGGGAGCTGGACAGATACCTAAAGTCAGTGCCGGTCAGCCGGGCTGTGGTTTCGTACGCTGGACTACGTGTGGCCAGCAGTAACAGCCTCCTTGATCAGGCCTGAAACCACCAGGGGGCCTGGCCATGGACCGGGCCCCCGGGGGCGCGATCCCCGGAATACCTCCAGGTAGGGGGTTGGTAATGCTTGTGGTATAGGGTGGCGATGATGGTGGTGGCGTGTGGTGGTATCCAGATAGTTCCCTCATCTGTCACAGGGGTCAGGGGTGACCCCTTTGGGTCACTGGTGAGCCGAGCGAGAACTATTCAAATTCAAATTCAAAGTTTATTCTCTATAAGGATTACAATGCAGTTTACAGAAAATTTGGTTATTGTGTGGTTTACATGTAGTAAAATAGTGATTACAGAGTGTACCACTAGAACGCTTAGCATGGTAGGCATTTCGGGCAGACTTAGTTTTATTCCTTAATTGTTTAAAATATTACAAATATTTAGGTAAGTTGGTATTATGGCTAAGTGACTAAATACTAGTTTGTGAGTTTAGCAATGTAAATCCTTTTGTTTTGGCACAGTCCCTAGTTTCGTATTGGAGTATCACAGGGTTCATTATTTTAAGATTGAGATTAATATTTCTGTTTATGGTCAAATGAGTCAGTGAGTGTAAGTGTGAACCACCAGGTGGTATTCGTGTAGTTAGTAGACAGGGTGTATCAGGGAGATAAGATGTTTTCTAATGGTAGTTTTGAAGGTGATGAATGTGTCGCAGTTCTAGAGTTCTCAGGGAGGGTATTCCAGATTTTGGCCTTTGGCATACATGAATTTTTGTAAAGGTTTAGTCGGACACGGGGAATGTCGTAGAGATGTTTGTGTCTGGTTTTATGCCTGTGGGTTCTGTCACAACTATCAAGAAAGCGTTTTAGGTCAAGGTTGATATTAGAGTTTAAGGCCCTGTAGATGTAGATTGCACAGTAGTAAGTGTGGATGTACTGAACAGGGAGTAAGTTTAGGTCTATGAAGAGTGGGGGGGGTGTGTTGCCAGGGATGGGATTTAGTGATTATTCTTACTGAAAGCTTTTTGTTGGATTATTGGCTTTAGGTGTGTTGCTGCAGTTGATCCCCAAGCACAAATAGCATAGGTGAGGTATGGATAAATAAGTGAGTGGTATAGTGTGAGAAGGGCATTTTGCGGCACGTAGTATCGTATCTTGGAGAGGATCCAACCGTTTTGGATACTTTTTTGGTTATATGCTGGATATGGGTGCTGAAATTCAGGTTGTTGTCAAGGTATAAGCCTAGGAATTTGCCCCCATTATTTCTGGTAATTCGAGTGTTGTCAATCTTATGTTAATTTGTGCATCTCCTGCACTGCTACCAAACATAATATAGCAGGTTTTGTCAGTGTTAAGCGTAAGTTTATTGGCTGTCATCCAAGTCGATATTTTGATCAGCTCCTCATTCACAGTGGTGTTGAGGGTGGCAAGATTAGGGTGAGAGATGACATAAGTCGTGTCGTCAGCAAAGAGAATGGGTTTCAGGTGTTGGGATACGTTGTGGAAGGTCATTGATGTATATGAGGAAGAGCAGGGACCAAGGACACTTCCCTGCAGAACTCCAGTATCAAGTGGCCGTGTTGCTGATGCTGTGTCTTTAATGGTGACATACTGATACCTATTAGTAATGTAAGATTTGAAATAAGCAAGCGCATGGCCTCTTATACCGTAATGATCAAGTTTGTGGAGTAGGATGTCGTGGTCTACTGTGTCAAAAGCTTTTCTTAGGTCAATAAAAATTCCTAGTGGATATTCCTTATTTTCCAATGCTGTGTAAAGCAGATCTAGCATTTTTGATTGCATCATTAGTAACTTTTATTTTTCCTGAATCCAAATTGGCAGGGGTTGAGTATGTTTTGAGCCGTTATAAATGAATACAGTCTCCTGTGCACGAGTTTCTCAAAGATTTTGGATAGCAATGGTAAGTTAGATATTGGCCTTTAGTTGTTTAAGTCTGTAGGATCACCACCTTTATGTATTGGTGTAACCCTTTTCCATCTTGAGTAGTTTCGGGAAGGTGCTAGTCTCTAGTGACTTGTTTTAAAGAGTAATGAAATAGCATGCGAAAGGACATGGGCCGCTCGCTTGTACAGTAATGGTGGGACATGAGACAGATTCCCCGAGTTATTTTTAAGTGACTTTATAATCTCGGTGACTTCCGTGGGCTCAGTTGGTGCAAGATAGAAGGAATTAGGGAAATTCCCATCTAGGTAGTCCCCGGCATGGGCATTGGTATGTGGGATTTTACTGGCGAGATTAGATCCTATGGTTGAGAAGAAGTCGTTTATCTTGTTAGCTGTGTCAGTGGGATGTATGGTGTTTCATTAGGTTTAGTTAGGACAATATTCTTGGTTTTTCTCAGTTTGTGGGTCCCTAGAATCTGAGAGAGTGTTTTCCCGGTCTTTTTTATATTCTCCTCTAGTGTCTGTGAATCTACTGGAGTAGTATAGTTGTTTGGCTTTCTTTATTACTTTGGTGAGAGCTGATGAATAGTGTTTAAGAATATCTTTGTGTAATTAAGCCTTGTCTATATTGCTTTTCATATTGGTGTTTCTTGTCAATGGATTTCAGAATGGTACTGGTTAGCCATGGGCAACCAAGCCGTTTGTTTGTGATCTGTTTTGTTTTTATAGGACAATGTGTAAATGGGTAAATCTCCTTAAACCTGTTGCCTCAGTTCACCTATAAGTAAAAATAGGTACCTGAGTATTAGTCTGCTTACATCTGCAACCCCGGCCCACCTAGCAGGACAAATAGGTACCTAGGTTGTGGTTCACATCCTGGGGGTAACATCAACATCCTGGGGATAACATCAACATCCTGGTGGTAACATCAACATCATGAGGATAAAATCACCACCTTGAGGGTAACATCAATATGCAAGATAACCTCACACCATGTAGAAGTAACTTACGAAATTCATATAGAAGTACATGTATGTATTACATGATTTGAGATAATAATAATTTAAAAAAATCCTACTTTATTCATGGTGGCACTCTCGTGGTGGCAGCTGTGCCTAATTAGGGTGCTAGATATAAAAGGATAGCTCATGGAGGTCACTAAAGGACACTACAATTATTAATTTATTTATATGAAGCGGTAAACATCTGAGTCACTCAGCACAAAGAGTGGTTAGGGGCTCGGTCTACCGTTTGCTAATAGGCAGAAACTCGCAGCCAGACGCCACAACCTGCCCCCACTGGCATATAAATAGCTTGTATAACTAGTTAATGTTCCTAGTCGGACCGAAACGTCGTCATAAGTGTCATTCTATGAGCCGGTTATTTGTGTATTGTACCAGTCGCGGTATAGTGCATTTTTTGTTCTTCATTCACTTGTGAATAAAGTTGTTTGTTGATGTCACTCCCTGCTGCCACTTAATTTACGTTTTCCTTTATATAAAACATTCCTACCCCTTCGCCTCGCCCCGTAACACAAGCAAGATTGTTAGAGATACATTATAGCTGTCTCAATTGATAATGCCATCCGCTCCCCCCTGTTGGCTTCTAGCAGAGGTTCGAAGATATACTGTGCAAATATGAAAGAAATAGTGTCTGAGAAGCCTCAAAAATTAATATTTAGTAGCTATTAAAATCTTTAATGCAACGTTCAAAGCCAGAGAAATTAACCGAGAGGTTCGTACATACTGCTTTTGTAGTCACTGGGAAGGAATTAACACATTGGGGGTAATGAGGTTTCATTCAAATACAAGAGAGGGGGGGGGGGGGATGGGGGTAGCTCTAATTATTTGGGTCAATAATCTCTCATAAGCATCAACACACCTCTTTGGAGGTAAAAAGTATTACGAAAGGTTGCTTCTAACTACCAGTTTTTCATTGCTTTAAAAATATTCCGAGTTCGACTGCTCACATGCACAATATACTACCGAATTACATAGAGTAAATTGCAGGCTTTAAGAAAATCACCGACTAATATATAAATAGAACTCTAGCAACTTCGTAATTCTAAAATACATTATGGAATGTGATTGTATGCTTGCCACTAACACCACTTATTCAGCAGGATGGCAGCTCCGGCTATTGGCATTGACCTAGGCACTACCTACTCGTGTGTGGGAGTGTTCCAACACGGCAAAGTGGAGATCATCGCCAACGACCAGGGTAACAGGACGACACCTTCCTATGTCGCCTTCACAGATACAGAGAGACTCATCGGTGACGCTGCCAAGAACCAGGTTAATTGCCACACCTTCTCTACCTCTTGCTGAGAATATATCCGTTGTTTTTGCAACTTTATTACATAATAAATAAATAATATCAAATACATAATGAAACTAATAATACTGATAATTTTGCAGGTGGCCATGAACCCCAACAACACTGTGTTCGACGCCAAACGTCTCATCGGTCGCAAGTTTGAGGACCCAGCAGTGCAGAGCGATATGAAGCATTGGCCCTTCACCGTGGTCAACGAAGCCGGAAAACCTAAAGTGAAGGTGGAGTACAAGGGCGAGAATAAGACTTTCAACCCTGAGGAAATCTCCTCTATGGTGTTAACTAAAATGAAAGAAACTGCCGAGGCCTTCCTTGGTAAAAGTGTGAAAGATGCTGTCATTACAGTTCCTGCCTATTTCAATGACTCCCAGCGTCAAGCTACCAAAGATGCAGGAGCTATCGCCGGCATTAATGTTCATCAGAATCATCAATGAGCCAACTGCTGCTGCCATTGCTTACGGACTCGACAAAAAAGTGGGTGGTAGAGGGGAACGTAATATTTTGATCTTCGACCTCGGAGGCGGTACCTTCGATGTGTCTATTCTTAGCATTGATGAAGGTGTCTTTGAAGTGAAATCTACTGCCGGAGACACCCACTTGGGAGGCGAAGATTTCGACAATAGAATGGTGAACCATTTCAAACAGGAGTTCCAGAGAAAATACAAGAAAGATTTGAGTGCTAATAAAAGAGCGGTTCGTCGACTGCGAACTGCCTGTGAGAGAGCCAAGCGAACTTTGTCATCTTCCACTCAGGCCAGTGTGGAGATCGACTCATTATATGAGGGTATCGATTTCTACACTTCTATCACACGCGCCCGATTTGAGGAGCTTTGTTCTGATCTTTTCCGAGGGACGCTGGAGCCTGTAGAGAAGGCGCTGAGAGATGCCAAGATAGATAAAGGCGGCATCCATGAACTGGTCTTGGGGAGGCTCTACCCGCATCCCCAAGATCCAGAAACTCTTGCAAGACTTCTTCAATGGGAAAGAACTCAACAAATCGATCAACCCAGACGAGGCGGTGGCTTACGGTGCTGCCGTGCAGGCTGCAATCTTGCATGGTGACCAGTCTGAAGGCGTGAAGGATGTTCTGCTGCTGGACGTGGCCCCTCTGTCACTGGGTATAGAGACCGCAGGAGGTGTGATGACTGCTCTCATCAGCGTAACACAACAATACCCACCAAGCAGCAGCAAGTCTTCACCACATACTCTGACAACCAGCCAGGTGTGCTTAAATTTAGGTATACGAAGGAAGCGTGCCATGAAACCCAAAGGGCAACAACCTTTTGGGAAAGTTTGAGTTGAGTGGTATCCCTCCAGCACCTCGTGGGTCCACAGATCGAAGGACCTTCGACATCATGCCAAC